GTGATATCTTTTATTCTATATTCTATACTGGGTAAATAATGAAATTAAAACAACAATGTGATATCTTTTATTCTATAGGCCACCGACATTCTTGAGCCAAATCCAATCTCCATTCTATTGTTATGTCTTCATCTTTACCAGCGGCTTCCTCAGTATTTACCAAGAACTACTGTGGAGTTTCAGGGATCTCTGCACACAAGTGTAGTAAAGCATGTATGCCTGTAGAGGATACTAAATAGCAATATTGAATGAGTTCTGAGTCTGAAAAGCGTTAATCCATTTTTTTTTAAAGTTGGCATAGAATTGGTGCTTACAGAAATATRAACAATGTGGTCCAGTAAAATAAATGAGGAATGTTTTACAGAAGATAACACCTAATTTTGATGATATTTTTTCTTCACTGAAATTACAGGATTGCAAATTGATCAAACTGTTTGTTGTCACTCTACTATTTAGCTTTATTGCATTCTATGCAGTTATATGACAAATTTCAGGTTCCCTATATGTTCGTTGTTGGTTTTGGACAATGCCATTCCTACTGAAAAAAAATGAAATGCACGCTTTTTTACCACTCAATGATTTTTTTTTTTTTAATTTGATATTGTGTAATTACAGATTTTTTTATGAGGTGCTAATTTATGATATGGTTTTGTGTCCAGATTCACCTTCAGAATCCCAGTAATAAGCCATTAGTTTATCAAGTCATCATCGCAGGACGTGATGCTGTTGACTTTAATGTTTCAGTAGGAGATTCTCTGGTGGTAAGTTAGGTTTTAGATGTTTAATTTCAATGTGCATTATACAACAGCCTATAAGATGATTTCTTTAAATCAATAAATATTAGTAATCATCCATTAAATGAAAATGATACCTTTAGATGTACCAATGATTTGTTTAATTCAAATAAGRAAAACAATATATATTATATTATCTATCAAAATTTGTATTCAAATGTTTTCAATTTAGACAAGACAATTTCTGAAATTCAAAATTGTAATTAAGATTTAACATTGATTATAATTTCTTATGTATTTTGGTCCTGTTATATTGTAATGCCTTAGCAATAATACCTGTAAAGTTATAGGTCATGCCAATAAAGCTGACAACTACTACCTATTCAAACCTCGCTTTGTAATGCGCATTTCTATGGAAARTGCTCAGTAGAAATATATATTGGTATGTCTCTTTCTTGCATAGTATTAGTTTCGGACTTATTTAGATATTTTGCTTTTTACAGGTGCCTTCAAAAGGTAATCTTCAGCTACCAGTTGAGTTCAAGAGTCGTTTTTTGAGACCTTGTAATGSTACATTGGTTCTTGTTGGCAAACGTGTAGGCTCACCTTGTGGCAACACACTTGTATTTAATCTGGAAACATGTATTAACAACATAACACCAGTGGTATGTACACAATCTCTGAATTATGSTATTACTATAGTGATTTTAAATGTATGTATGGGTTTCAATCAGGCAACTATACATTGTGAGTCACCAACATATGAGCTAAAGAAGGTCCATTGCGATATAACCAATCCATTTCCTCAAGCGGGAGAGTTTCGTATTGTTCTTGTTGAAGCCAAACTGTCATTTCCTGGAACAAACAGCAACAACTCCTCACCAAGAAGTAAACAGAATAAGCAGAAGAAAGCTGTTCCAGCTCGCACTGATCACGGGTAATATGTTTTTCATTGGTTTCTCTTGGCCAAAACTTACCCAGAATGTGTCTTATGTTTATATCAATGATCCTAAAATTTTCTGAAAAATCGTGTTTTTTTTTAAACAGTTCATATACTAATTATAAATGAGCATGTAAATTACTAATTCTTTGCATAAAACGCAATCCGACCAAGTTTAACAATAATTGGAGTAGGTTTGATTGAGGCCTTACTGCTGTATGTTAGTAATAACGTCTATTGCTTTCACCGTCTACGGCTTCATCAGAGAATGACTAGAGAAATGTTAACAATAATTGAGTCAAACATCAAATAACCGATTTAACATTCCTTATTTTAATTTGATTTCATCTTGATTTCATTTGGTCTTGACGCACGAATATTTTAATTTGATATATGGTAAATGCCGCACACACAAGCATTGACAAAAGGTAATCTTTTCCATTTTCTTTTTATCATAATTGGTATTTATATAGGCAAGGGAATAAACCAAAGTCACCTATCAAAGATTTCCCTCGGTTTGACTCTGATAAGCCAGAATCACCGAAACGTAAGTACCTTAAGTATCGTAAGTGTGTGATCTAGACCATATATACTACTGTCAAAGGTGCTATAAATCATATCTTGTTGCCTTTTTCTTTTTTAGMCTCTCCGACACCACAGCTCAGTGCTTTTTGGAGCCCTCGGCCCACCATTCACTTGGACAGCAATAGCACTTCATCATTAGAAATTCATTTTCTTCCTTTCAACGATGGTCACCGTCAGTGCTCTGTCCTCTTCATTAATGACAAWATTGGTGAATTTCTCTACTCTATTGAAGCCAATGGTACTTTCCCTCTTCCCTCTCCTCTTCCCATGGCAGACTCGCTTCACAGTATGCGAATCAGCAGTGCTGCAGCAGCTAGGAACAGTATGGGGTTGTTTGGTGGAGATGATAGAGTGGTGTATTGGAGGTGTGATAATGATGAAAAGTTTACAGAAGATCTTTACGTACCCATTACTAATACGGCAAGGGAGAATGCATTTGGTTAGTATATGTTTGGCCTGTGTAGACAACCACGCTATAAATAGGAGTCTTCCATACACACCTCATGTTATATAATAACTCTTAGTAAACCTACAATTATCATGTAGGCAAAAAATGTTTGTCATTGTCATGTAATTAACATTTTTGTTTCAGCTATTGCTGCTCAGCAACGCATGTCGGATCGTGAAATTCAACGTCGTCARTTAACAGGAACATTGTGCAGCAGTACTGTAACATCAAAAATCGCTGCGATAGGGCTTGGTGGTGATATATTTATGCATGCYAGTGACMCTACAGTAAAAAGGGGTCTAGATCTCAGCTTTACCAAGTTTTCTGTTGAATTAAGCTCTAAGTTTTTTAAGGCTCCAAAATGGGTGACAATACCAACAACAATGGAAAAATCTTTTGGTAAGTATTGCTAATGGATTTGAAGCATTTCGATTCTTGTACACAGTCGTTGCTGCTACCTTTGAATTCAAGGCACTTGAAGGTACTTGTATTCAAGGTTGTGTACTGGTGAGGTTATTATAGTTTAACCCCGGATCTTAGGAAATTCAAGTTTTTTGTTTGTTTGTTTTTTTTTTACTTTTTTTTGTTTTGTTTTGTTTTGTTTTTTTCATGAAGTCTCAGTCATTACGTTTTTATCAGTCTTTGTGGTAGGCACTGGTAAATTTCAACAAAATTAGTATGCATACTTCGATGAGCCTTAATGTTACTAAAAACTGTTGACAATTAAATCATTAAATCATTGACAATTAAAAAGAACGGAAAAGAACCTTTTAAAATTATCATAACACAACAAAGTTTATAGTTTTTTCGGAAGATTAAAAAGAAAATGAATAGTGTTTAGATAARTTAATAAAGGAACTTATGAATTTTTGCTTGCTTGTTTGTTATTTTGAGCCATTTTGATTTCCCGTTGGAAAAGCGTTCGCTATGGTTGTCGAGAAGAGATTTCAGTTGCAAAGGTAATATGTATATCTTTATTTGTACATCAGGTGCCTCAAAACGAGAAAAAGAACCCTTGAAAGACACTATCAAAATACCAATTACGTTCGAGCCCAAAGGTCCTGGACATTACCCTTGTCAGATTACACTCAACTCCACACATGATATTAGGTTATATCAGGTAGAATGCACAGTAAGTCCAAAGAGCTCGGCATTAGATCTGGAGTTTACATCACCTGCACATCAGTCAGTGACGCAAGATATCCCGGTGGTACGTTAAAATATTTACACCATGAAATATCTTTAAGCATATCAAAATGTAAATTCTTCATCCAGTTGTTGCCAAGTATTTAGAAACATTGAGTCAATCACTGGACAGTGAGTGAAACAAAATCCAATCCATCATCTGATGAAGACCGATGGTTTCGGTCGAAACGTTGGATTTTGTTTCACTGACTGTCCAGTAATTGACTCAACGTTTCTAAATATCTTTAAGCATTAGTACTTTGATGATTGCTATTGTTTGCCTTTTCGATCTATTTCTCTTTGACTATTACAGTATGATTGTTAAACGGGTTGACCAAGTACACTCTATTTCACAATTCCATTCAATGTTTAGTCATTTTGCTATGYTCTGTATTATTGCAGATCAACCATAGTCAACAAGACTGGCAGTTGACAGCTTCTATAGAAGGAGAAGGTTTCTTTGGACCTCCTGTTGCACTAGCCAAAGCTTTAGTGACAACGTATTACCCACTTATGTTTAGGCCTTCTTATGAAGGCCCAGTACAGGTATGCATTGATTTACAAAACTGGTTTTACCACAACATTTACATTTTCTGATCCTGACGTCAGTTTGATGCGATTACATAAATTTGTATTAGATATCTAGCAATCCTAAAATAAAATAATAGAAGGCGTTACTTAGGTGACAGTAATACTCCAAACACAGAGCAAACAGCTGCAGACTAGACAAAAGTTAAAATGTAGCAAAAATCATTGAAAATGTAATGCAGGCAACGAATTTCGAGCGGATGGCCTTAACTAGCAACATTTATAAATGGCATGTATGGTTAACAGATTGAAATATGAAAGATTCTTATTAACTATGATTTTTACAGGGAAAATTGGTTTTGACGAATCAAGTGGATAGCACYGAACAAGTATACAGGCTCTGTGGAATGGGACAAAAACCTTATGCTCTTGATAACATTGTGATTGAATGTGAAGCTCGTCAAAGGTAATCTTGTTCTCAACACATTTAGTGAAGTGAGCTTATTTCTTGATTTCATTCTGTAGTTAGGWTTCATAGTTTCTCACAAAATGCTAAAATTGTATTGCTATAAAAAATAATGTACAGCCGATTTGTTAATGTTATCACCTTAAAGCTTGACTCCGTTGAGTTGTACAAAAACAAAAAAGCAARAATGTGCATAGACTAAGACAAAAAAAAGCGCGGCAGAAAGGGAACAGGGACAGACTTTTGAATCAATCTATCGAAACGTAAAGYGAACGAACACCATTTACTAARTGGTACCAAATACTTCAAAGATGAGAATTTCGTCGTACACAGGCATATCATTATTAATACTTGTTGATTYTTCTGTGCAAAATTGATTTATTTTAACCGAGCTTTSGGCTTAAGCAGCCATTTTCAAGGTTGTAGTACACGTGATGATCTAATMWACGYAGCTAACTGAAAGCGCTCGAGGGAACTSTACAATACGTGCGCGCTCTGTTTACAAATAAAAATATTATTAGGGCAAATGCAACAAATTAAATGGTTTTRAGTRATTGGATGTAGCTATCGGGCAGAGTTCTKCCAGTGTCCCTATTTGATATGATGTTGATCTTATTTGTTTTTGCTATTAAYACTGCTTCCATCCACTTCCTTTGGTGCCACCTTGTCTCGTTTCTTAAGACGGAGGTGTCCTTCCAGTTGATATTGTGACCAAGGCGATTGGCTTGCTCTGACAGTGCAGACTTATCTGTCTRGCCGAGTCTAACACAACTTTTCATGTTCTGAAACTCTAGTCTTCAGAGATTTCTTGGTCTCACCAATGTATACGGTAGAGCGGTCAGCGCACGGTATTTGAAAGCTYGGTTAAAATAAATCAATTTTGCACAGAAGAATCAACAAKTATTTATAATAATATGCCTGTGTACGACGAAATTCTCAACAAGAATTCAATCGTTTGTTGCACTATTGTGCAATATGGCGGCCAAAATATTAATAGAGATTGAGGAAAATCTTCTCCAATTCTTAAACAAAGTTGACTGCAATGTTCTTATTGTTGTATTTGGTAAGATAAGAAAGCAGGTTTAGTAAGTTTAGTAACTGTATTTTTCTCTTTGTAAAAATCTGTTCAGTATTTAATAATTATTAGCCGAAGGCGAGGTGATTATGAATGAATATTCATTGATAATCACTGAGCCTGAGGTGAATAATTGTTTTAGTATAATTTCATAAGTGAATATTCATAAAAATAGAAAAAAAAGAACTACTGCATTTTCTCGTAAAATGTTATGTGGCGGGGATTGAAGATGGCGGTCGAGGGCCGCTCGGATTGACAGCAAAGTCGTCTTCTTGTAATAATTGCCATCTTTCTTCCTTATGGACACGTAAAACTTTGATAGACACTTGTTTAATTCACTTGTATCCATGTCTTCAAAGATGACAGTAAATTCAGACTGTTGTTGAAACCATTCTGTCAAAAAATGTATCGAGTAAAATGTAAACAAACCAGGCGAAAACCTACAAATTTCAGCCTGTTTGACGTAAAACGATAGATAAAAAAGTAGTTTTAGACAAGGTTTTTATTATTAAATAAACAAAACTTATCTGTAAAAAGTTATAATCCAATTTTTTTTAATCCAATTGTTTAATCCAACGACTCGCAGACGACGCCATTTTGCGAAAAAATCCAATATTCACCTATAGGTGAACATCGCTCATTGAAGTGTAAAATTCGACCAATCAGCACGCTAGAATTATGATATTCACTTATGAAATTATACTAATAGATGTTATCAAATTCATTAATAATCCATAAGGTAAACACAATGGAAAATCATTGCCGTGACCACATCTTTATATGAGCCAATCTCGTACCCCGAGCCTTCGTTTCTCTTGGCCAGCGCCGTCGACAAACACTAGACTCTGGAGTAACGGAATTTTAACTACGAATTTCTGTCGTCCGGTCTCCATTGCGCATGACTCGTTATCCAAACGGCTTTCGATCGAATTTCCTCGAGAAAATTGCCTTAAAGAAAGTCAAAACAGGAACACTCAAGATCCCAAGTAATTGATCTACCTTCGACAAAGTAAATTCGGATAGATTATGATCTGATTATAGAAAATCTGGAATGTTTTCCGATCGCGACAACTGGTCAGTTGGCGACAGTTCGTTGTGGCTAAATCTAAACAACATTTCGGTTAATTCACTTACTGAGCTTATCCATCAGGATTTCTAACTTTAATGTCTTAGCAAATCATTTTAAAGCAAGAATCTACGGTAATATATCGAGATATAACATGAATTCGAATGTTTTCCTTGGTGTAATTTCACTTCCGGCGGCATTTGTTTCWATTTCAAGAACCAATCMAAATTCRCARAAAATTMCGATACCCAGAGTCTTACGTTTTCGGCGCTGGCCAGGAAAACGAAGGCTCGGGGTACGAGATTGTATATGAGCAAGAGATTTGTCCTGATTTGCATGCGACTTCAATTTTCTCTTACAAATTATATTTTATCCTGAAGTTTTTTTCGAAACATGCTTTACCTTATATAAAATATTCGCATCCGACCTTTATGGGCTATAAAACTGCTCGCTTGCARCTCGCAGTTTTAAATGCCCATAAAGGTCTCCCGCTCATATTTTATATATTACATACTATTTTACTAAACTGAATGAAACCCTGATTTTTGCAGTGTAACACATGTACTGCAAGTGCCTAACATAACAAAGAAGAAGGTCACATTCAAGGTAATTCATTTTGAAAGGTAGCCTAGCCTTTTTCATCAAAGCGAGATAGAAGTTGAGCTTATAATGATAGATACTTGTGAACTGTCTGAAGTGTGAAAAAAAGATGTCTATTACTGCAGGCTCAACTTCTGTCTCGCTTTGATGCAAAGGCTTGGTTATCTTTCAGGATGGCGCAACTGTAAAATGGAGTCCCCCCCCCCCCTTCAAATTCAAAATTCAAATTCTCATATAAAGGGAAACAAGTCCTAAACCGACTAATTTCAACACTATGCCAGACGACAATACTCAATACCATACCCCAAAAAGATGTCAAATTACGTTACTTCACCAGGAGATGAATCTAAAGGGACTATCGTGCTCGTGGTTATAAACTTCAAGTCGGTCTATAGCGCAACATAAAGTTGCATTAGTCCCTATGCACAGCAGCATAAATACCATTGACTATTAATTGACATTTTTTGACTTCCTCAGGTTCTTACTGATCTTGACATCATATCCGGACCTTCATCGTTGACTGTCCTTCCTTCAAAAACCGCTGAGCATGTTATCAAGGTGTCGCCATGGCGAAGGGGGCAGTTCAATGGGATGGTTACATTTGTAGCTATTTCTGAATCTAACTTCGAGCCAAAGTCTCTTGAGTGAGTTTCTGATAAGCTAGTCTTCGATCTGAGTCGGGCTCRAAGCTCGATTCTCATACTCATTAATTATTCATGAGGTATCCAACCAATCCCTGATTGAAATTTGTACCACGTGCAGTAACTGGAAACCAGAAGAAGTACTYCTACCTTGCTATCCTTACTTCTACCTTATTTCAAACAACTACTAGCTAATAATAATCAAAGTATTAGAAATAATCAATGTAGTATAGAATTAATTTAGTGAAAAAAGGTCTTTGATACATCGATCCATATCGATCCCCAACCGTCCAGTCTATATGCGCYGTCTTATACCATTACACCACCGAGTTTCTGATGCGATTCATCGGAAGGTAACATACTTGTAAATCAATAGCTTTTGTTTCAGAAAAGCGTTCAGGAATTGGTGAACAACAAACGGTGCTTCATGTATTCAAAATTATGAAAAATTGAAAACCTGACTGGAGATGCAATCAATCACTAAATTTCTATTATATGCATTTCCTTCGCTTTTATCCCCTCCAAAATAATTAATGAGTATGAGAAGTTGTTCAAAGTCCTCCTATTCAGACTGGACGGGATTTCTAGTCATTGCAATTAGTTCCAACGCCTCAGACTGAAACTAATTGCGCGGACTTGAAATCCCGTCTAGTCCTCATTGTCGGACTTAAAACATTACTTAGCGCTGTCACGTCTATAACATCTATAAAATGCCTATGGGAGTTAACAGCTTTATCTGGGTGTAGGAAGGATGGATAAACGTATCGACCAGATACAGTCGTTCACTCCTGAGGATTGTTTTGCTGCAATGAAAATATCTGGAAAAACTATTGGTCGTAGTTCTACCATTTAAATGTTTATTCTCTATCACAGAGTTGTGGATTCTGACAGTGATGAAGAAAACCAGGAATCAAATAAACACAGCGTTTCTGCGCCTGCAAGGTTAAAATCCCCAGGAGATAAAGCTTTCCCTTTGACACGCCCCTATAGGCAATGGTACTCAATCGAAGTTAACGCTTTAATCCCTAAACCCGAGAAAACCCTTGATGTCACATGCGCAGCACATCGATCGGTTGGAATTGAAGTAGAAGTGTCTAATCCCACGAATGACAACATTGTGATCGATGTAATATTAGAGGGAGAAGGAATATTCGGTGAACCAAGTATTGTAGTTCACCCTAAACAGAAAGCTTTATACAGAGGAAAGTTTTCACCGACCAAGATTGGAGAGTTTAGTGGAAGGTGAGGCGGGCTTAGCATGGCGTTTTTTAATGATAACCCCACGATATCATGCTTCACTATAATGCTCTTACTACTTTCTTTTGGAAGTAGCAGKTCTTAATGGAGCTCCGCGCGAGCTGACGATCATAAATAAGGATCTATATGTCATCGAATCCATTTTTCATGAACCAACACACGGTTCCCAAGCTCATTTTGAATTTGTCCGCGCTGCTCGACAATCCGAAAAGTTCACATATCGTTCACTTGTGTTTTGCCTCTGGGTATTTCTTAAGTTAGGCTTAATGGAACATCAGGCTTTTCCTTGTCAAAACTGAAATGAAAAGTTGGGCCTTTCTGTGTCTATCACAATCTATTGTAACACGACTCTCATAATGTCCGACACTATTTAGCATATTATCTCTCATCAATTCATCATGTTGACAAAAGAAAACAATCCAATGGTAGATATCAACGCCAAGGATAAACTCTGAAAGTCTCAAAGAAAAATAATAAATCCTCTTGAATTTATAAAGGGTTAGAAGAGGTACGAAAACACCAAAACGAGGCTAATCACCAGCAAAGAATTCCATACAAATCCATGTATTTTTATTCCTCCATAACTTTGTTAGTAGATGACTTCCATGAATGCCTATTTCCTAAAGTTCTTCCATATGACAGTGTTTGATGTTTCCATAACATTTTAATTTGTATAAAATYGATGGTGGGCACTTACGAAAGTGATCTATTAGGTTTCTTTGTATTTCGGGGTATTGTTTATCTTCTGCTCCATTGTTCTGATCTTTTGTTTCTACTGAATTATGGTAGTCTCTGCTTCTGGTTCCGATACACGCAGAAGGCACCGAAAAGTTGCTGTGTTTCTTTTAGCGCCATATTTTGCTAAACTGCTTAAACTTGAAAAACCCTTTCAAATGACAAGTTTTTTCACCTTTTTGATGTGCAAACGCGTACGCTCTTGAAATTGGCGGGAATGATATCAACTTTATTAGAATCTCCATTCATAACAATGCGGTTTCGAAAAACGTGTTGATATGCGTAAACGCCTACACGGCTGCCTCGTTGACCTATGAGGCAAAAGCCCGTATATTTATTTAGTTTACCAATTAATCTATGATTTTTTTTATCTATCTTGCATTTTAGTGTCATCTTTCAGCACCRAGCTCTTGGAGAGCTTTGGTATGACCTCTCTCTGCATGCCACAGCACCAGTACCCTCACATCTACCGCTACTTAATTGTGAACTCGGAAAGTACGTTTTTTGGTTAAAAAAAGAAAGAAATTTTTAAATCAAAAGCATCATCATTATAACATTTTATTACCTGAGATGGTGGTTTAATATGAATTAGAATGAATTGCATAACGTCCAAAGTTGTCCAAATCGCTATGCAAAAACAAAGAAGTCATAATTATAGCTTATCTTCATTTGTTTCTTACGTTTTTTCCAGGTCGGTATACCAAATGATTCGCCTTGAGAATCCTACCAAAGAAGCCTTGGTTCTCGAACCACAATGTTCTAATTCACGGAATTACACTCTTGAAATGGACTCCAGCCAGGTAAACTATCTTCAATCCATCAGCATTGTGATGTAATAGGTACACCCATGTATTAGCGTAAGGCGGGTGAAATACTTAGTAGCTGTCATAGAATTTTTGGTAATAACAATTAAAGACCAAAGATTTGAATTCAGATAGATGTTAATAAGCATCAAACTTGTGTGTATAGGCACAGTATTTGAATTTTGATATTCATGTGACGGTTAACAGAATTTTCCCATGTCTTAAGTTTCYTCTTCACCAAGATTTACTAGCTTCATCGTCGAGCTTAGAAATTAGGATCTCTTGACTTTTGCCATTACAGCTTGTACTCGGACCATTATCAGTTCTAGAAGTTCCACTTAAGTTCACTCCATCTGATGTTGGCCACACTAACCATTCTGCTGAGATARCTTTCCATAGCGCAGAGGTAAACGCAACCTGTTTATTTGTAGACTATTATTATTTATTAGATGAAAATRAAATCCAATAATGTACACCTTCAGGCAACGTCCTGTGCTTATATTCTCGAAAAGATAGCTATCAAATAATTTTAATTATGTTCTGAAAATTTGTTGTTTTGCCTTACAGTTAGGGGATTGGWTATTTTTAGCTTCTGGAACTGGAACAATGCCGGGTGCAAATGAAACTATCAATATTTACTCTGAACTTGGAGGAAATTCATCGATCATTTTGCCCTTTCGTAACCCAACTGATCATGAAGTCATCGTGGATGTTRTACTAAAGGAGCGAACCATTTCTAGATCAGGTATGTTGTGAAAGCTAGTGCTGTGATGGACGTCAGTCGAAGGATTGGACGCCGTGAAGAATAAGTTTATTGTTATTGAATGTAGAAAAGTGTATTTGTTTGTTTGTATTTAAAGGTGGGTTGACAACTACTCCATAAATGAAAACATATACGATAATGTCACAAGTTTCAAATACTGAATAGAGTACTGAAATGTTATTCCGAACAAATTTCTACAAAATGCGTAACTTCAGTTGCATGTACAATCCTTTATTCTTTATGGTAAAAAGTATTATGGATTTATGGAGATCTCTTATAGATTGGTGGTGTGATTTATGGAGATCTCTTATGGATTGGTGGTGTGATTTATGGAGAT